TGTCCAGGTGTCCCTGTGATGGACTGGAGACCTGTCCAGTTGTCTCTGTGATGGACTGGAGACCTGTCCAGGTGTTCCTGTGATGAGACCTGTCCAGGGTGTGTGTGATACCTGGACATAGGCACCAGTGTCCGGTGTCAGTCCAAGGTCTCTCTTGTCAACGAGTCTTCGAGGCGTAGTGTGATTTATCTGTTTACACAAAGGCTGAAAAAATAGTGACCTGTGATCCTAAAAGGAAGACGTGGGTAAAAGATGGACGGATGTTCTAATGTTTCGTTTGGACATTTGTCCTCGAGTTTTCAGATTTAAAGTTTGGTCTTACAACTTGAGAATATAAATGAAAGTTTAAGTAAACTTCTAGCTGCTATAATGAAAGAGGCATCCATCCATCCATCCATCCATCCATCTTATTCCTCTGGTTCTGGACTCAGGTCTCGGGGGCAGCAGCTTCATAACCAGACATCTCTCCACAGCCTCTTCTGGGAGGACTCTGAGGTGTTCCCAGACCAACCAAGACACGTAGTCTCTGCAGTGTGTCCTGGGTCTTCCCCGGGGTCTCCTCCCAGTCAGACATGCCTGGAAATGGAAGAATTGCTCCTTATGATCGATCTTAATCTGTTATCTTTGAACTTCCTCAACAGGCTCTACTTGATGTGGAGGCATAGTGGATCTAGGACCCATGAAGACCCAGGACACGCTGGAGAGACTATGTCTCTCTGTTTGTCTCTGTTTGTCTGGGAACACCTCAGAGTCCTCCCAGAAGAGGCTGTGGAGAGAGATGTCTGGACCTCCCTGCTCTGATGCTGCCCCCCAGACCTGAGTCCAGAGCAAGAGGAAGATGATGGATGGGTGGATGGATGGATGGGTGGATGGATGGGTGGATGGATGGATGGACTGAAAGAGAACAATGTTGTTTTGTTTTTTTCCAACTGAAGAGATCTATATGTATTTCTTTAAAAACATTTGTAGTGAAATGTTTAGAACAGTATAAAGTTCACGACAGGATACACACGTCTTCTTCAGGGGTTGCCATGGTGAAGTCGCTCCCATGAACACTTAGTGGTTGTTTTACTCCGGACGTCCTTCCTGACACAACCACAGCCTCTGAGTGGAGCAGAGCTGCCATAGGGTGCCCGGGGGAGCGTGCCTTGCTCAAGGGCCCAGAGTTGGGCAGATGAGGGTGGAGGCAGGTGTGCTGCTTCACCTTTCACACGCACATTTTGATGTTGCTGGTACGGGGATTTGAAGCGGTGTCACAGGCCCACCTTCTGTAACCTCTGCACCCCCGCTCCTCCACAACAAGACGAATGAGCTGAACATTTTCATAGTGACTGGTTAAATCACACAAAACATGCAGACGTAATCTAACTGGGAACAAAGAGAAGGTAGCATGATGGTGCTAGTAGTGAATGATTGATCAGACAATAAGGAGCTCACATATATGTTGAAAGGCTTTTATTTACATGTCACACAGAAGGAGCAGAGCTGTATAAATGCTGTTACACGTTTGTCTGATGCTCAGAGTCATAGTGTGTCAACGATCCGCCTCTTCATGACAGAGTTATAAAAATAAAATACAAAAGAACTTTCAAACTAAAAGAAAACACTGTACAAGGCATAGATATGATACAAATGAAAGAACAAACAGAAATAATTACAAATATATACAAAGCAAAAGTCACACTTGTTACATTCTTTCTTTGAGACTGAACAGGTACATTAAAAAACATTAAATACTTTACAACACATAAAAACTCAAGCACAAGAACATTCTTAAAGTCCAGGAGTGGATAGGAAAGCGTCACAATCGACAGTTTCAGTAAAACATATGAAGTAAATGAACATTATGGCATGACACTAAAACTTGCTTTAAATGTTACATTTTTAAAGAAAGCAGCCAAAAAGTTGTTTTTTTGGTCTCTTGGTATAGGAACCACAAATACCAAAAAGGTACGCCACATGTACCCGTGGGCCACTTTTACAAGTGACTAAACTAATCTAAGCTAATCCTACAAACACACACCGCTTCCTTAGATTCAACCATGAGAATTACGGAAAAACCTGATGATCTTGTAAAACCAGCAGCCTTTAGTGCCTCCTCCTTCCTGTCACATGCCAAGAGTTTCACTGACCGGACCGGTTTATACTTTGAATATCTTACAGGTACCTCCTTCCTGTCACATGCCAAGTGTTTCACTGACCGTACCGGTTTATACTTTGAATATCTTACAGGTACCTCTACCTGAAACTGTACCTCAACTCTTGAAACTGTGCCTGCAGTCAACCTACTTCACATATGGGGA